TCAGACCGTATGGGCTGTTTACAGCAGACTCCTGCTGTATACCTTAATGCCCTTAAAAATCTCAAAAGGAACAAGTGAAAAAGGAAGATTAAGTGGCAAGAGTACTTTGACTCCTGCTACTAGCCCTAGGGTTCAGAAAGGAGAGACAGCATCCATCTGGTATATCTGCAGTTTGGGGCCAAAGATGAAGTAATCATCGAGCTATTTTATATAGGGTAACACACACTGAGCTGGATAGCACTGGACGTTGTCTTAGATGTATGGATAGTCAATATTTTGCTTTAAGGAATACACATTTTCCCCAAGACTCTGAAGGTATATAGTAAATCACTCAGGCAAAACCTGTTTACTACATACATAGAGTATATAAAAGTTGTGTTCAGAGAGCATATCTAACTAATTCTCAGTGCTGGTAGTCTATTTAGTGATTTAATTTTACTGAAAAAATCATTTGTATCCTCTCCAAAGGAACCTCTATGTCTGAAGGGTGATGAAATCTTCCACCTAATTGTGGAAATGTGTTATTTACCTGATATCCCAGACATTATACTCATATGAGCAAAGGCACATTTTGCAGGTGATTCTAGGGGGTGTTTTGCCCAAGCAACATTAATTGCTACTTCAGGGATACTATAGTTTGCAAGATTCAGAAATGGGTGGCCCCTGATAGCCACAGGTAAGAGAATAATTAAGAATTAAGGCTTACACTCTCTACCTGTATTTAAAGCTGGACCTTGTCCTATTTCTTTTCCTTGGTTAGTTTTTTTTCCCATAGGAAAAAAGCCCGTAAGAGATAAATTGTAAAACATCGAAAAGGTCTTTTGTAGCACAGGAGGAGGCAGCTTTGGAACGAAGAGATCTCAGGCGAATTAACCACAAACACATTTTAGGAACACCCAGGGGAGTGCAAGGCTTTGTTTTACCCAGATCCAGGCCCTGGAGTGGTTTTCTGGCACAATCTCAAACCCCTCTGAAGGCAATCACAGAACGGTGGCAAAAACACATGATTCAGAAGTCAAAGAACTCAGGTTGTCTTTGCTACTTATCCCCTACATGACTCTGAGTAAGTTATCAGTCCTCTCCAAACCCTCAACTACAAAATGAGAGATCTATACCAATCCCTTCCAGGACTATGTTAAACAATAAGTATTTATTAAGTGCCTACTGTGTGCCAAGCACTAAGAATAGTCACTGCCCCCAAGGAGCTTACATTCTATAATGGGGGAATGCCGTGTACACATCTAAGTATATACAAAATAAATACATAAATACAAGATAATTTGAGGACTGAGGCACTAGCAGCTGAGGAACACGGGAAAGGCTTATTGTAGAAGGTGGCACTTGAGCTGAGCTTTGAAAGAAATCAGGTAGAGGTGTGACGAGAGTATATTCCAGGCATGGTGTGATAGCCTGGACAAAGGCACAAATGGGACGTGGAGTACTGTGAGGAATGGCAAGAAAGCCAGGCAGGCTGGACCACAGAGTACATGAACGGGAATAATGTAAGTCAAAAAAATAGTAACAGAGGAGTTTTCATTTGATCTGAGAGGTAACAGGGAGCCATTGGAGTCTACTGAGCAGCGAAGTGACATGGCTAGATCTATGCTTCATTAAGTTTCCTTTGGTAGCTGTATAAATCCTGTTATGGGGATGGTATAATCTGTCTTCCCTGGAATGATCAAATCCCTCTCCAGGATTTTATTCAATGTTTAAAAGAGCCAGAAACCCTGACCCAGTGCTAGAGTATGAAAAGCATCACACTTCAAAAGCCACCATCTAGGCTGGCCCAACCACCAGGCTTCTTAAAGAACATGGCAGGGGATACTGTTTTAAAGACCAGAGAAGAGAGACAGGCAAGATGCCTCTAACAAGAGAGCTTCAGATTCTAAGTGATAAAAACACTCAGGAGGAAAAAGGCAACCATTAAAGGATTATGTCAAAACTTCACTCAATAAATGTACAGGGCAAAACAGGCCGTCCCATACCTAAGTCTTCTATTGAAGGAAATACAATTGAGAGGTTGAATGGAAGAAGCCTAGGTGTCTCAGAGGGACAGAAGTGGTCTAGGTTCACATCAGGAAATCACAGGAAGGGTCACTGGATCCAAGAACTGATAATTCCATTCACAAAAAGCTATAGCTGTTGGCAAAGTAGCAGCCATTTAGGCCCAAAGTGCCACCCAACTCTGCAGATGATCCGGAGCCTGAGCCACTGAAACAGAGAAGATGTGGTACGTAAGGTTCAAGTTGGAATGGAAAGCTAAAGGATGTCCCTTCTCCTAGGAATCTTCGCCTATTACTTCATGCATATGATCAAGGCTTTCGTGACTAAGTAACATAATCTTTCCCCAAAAAAAGTGCTTTTTCAGGTACAGATGCCTGTTTGGGTCACGTTCTTTATGTGTACAGCCAATGGCTCTGCTGCTGCTTATGCAAAAAATACCAGAGGACTGCACAAATCCAGATCCCACCCACCCAACATTGCCAAATAATCTAGGAGGATCTGGCTCGGGCAGTTACGAGTATGTGAACAGAGGACGGAGCTGTACATCTGAACCAACTCCCTGTCGATCTATCTCTTCACTTAATATGGGCCAAAAACTATTTTAAGACCATTTATAAACACCCAATCACATTTCATAAATATGCTCTTGCGAAAACGGAAACTTGGCACAATCTGTACTAATTAAGAATAGTTCTATTCTATTGATGGTGGATAAAGAAGTCATCTTTTAAAGTGAGTGTGCACACACGTATGTGTGAATGTAATGACAAGAAACCAAATGACTGCCCATTGCCAACCAGGTCACTTCAGGCAAGCCACTTAATTTCTCTGGGACAGTTTCCTTGTGTTCATTTCCTATAAAATAGGGGGTTGGACTAGATCTAAGGTACCTCCCAGCTCTAAATTTTATTCTCCCATGAATGTGTGAAACTATTTAAACTGAACTTTCTCCAACAGCTTGTCAAGTGGCTGAATAAGGGTTAGGTTTTATACTTCTACTGTAATTACTAGATATGAATTAACAGTGTTAATGTTAATCTTGAATACAAATCAGACTATTTGAAAAGCTCACAAGCAAAGGCAGAATTTTATGTTGTTAAATGTGTAATAATTATAAATTACAGTGTGGTCTGTAAGGATAGCAGATGCTTCTTTCCTATCTCTCTAATCAGAAAGAACACTAATCTAACATTCCAGGTATGGTATGAGAGAGATAATAACCAATTAAACTTTGAAAAAAACTACCAAAAACTAAGTCAAAGAATACTAGGTAACAAATGTGAAGTCAAGAGCCAGTTTCTAACACCATAGACTGAAAGCATATTCAACAGAGTGACTGTTCCCAGTTGTTCTGCTTCAATTCTTAAGCAGCTCATGTCTTTGTTGATGATCGAGTTCTTCTGTAACTCTCAGTCCTCTGACACTCCATTGGGTGCCTGGTTGCTAACCAAAGTGCTGCTCTGAAATAGTTAGGGGGTTGGCACAATAGTCATATGTTTATTACTGCACTACAAATTATTTTTAATAAGTGTATTCTCAGGCTCCAAGACAAAAGAATTGCTTGTCTCATAAAATGACAGCTACCAACAGGTCCCCTATAAATGCCAACAGCTACCAACAGGTCCCCTATAAATGCCAAACTAATAGTCTCAAGTAGCCCCTGAACTAGCTGCATGGTGTCTCAGAAACAGGTATGCTAACCTAATCATTTTATTTTGCTGAAACTCCACGTAACAAATGGAAGAAGGTTAAGATGTCTAAGTATCTCTTTAAAAAAAAGTTACTCTGCAACCACTAGAACCAAGTAAGGCCTACTTTTAAATGGGTCAATTCCTGGTATTCCAGATAACACCAATAAGGTGTGACCCCACTGCTTCTGAAACATCAACTTTCAGGATCAGCAAGTTGGCTGCCCCATTTCATGTACTATTTCAGAACATTTTTCACATGTCTCAGGTAATAATATGTGCACACAATTGTGAGGGAGGAAAAAACTGTTTTGGAACAAAATGTTGAACAAAGGCAGTGCTTTTAATCAAGTTTGAAAAAAATTAAATCTATTTGAACACACAAGCATAATTTACAGCATTTCGAAAGAAAAAGAGTTGGTCAGAAAAGAGGTTTTTTTGTGTGTTGCTTTTTTAAAAAACTAGGCCTTCTTAAAAACAGAAAAGGCCCTTTAATACATTTCTTTTTGTCATACCTGAATAGGGAAGTACAGTACTAATACTTCAGAAAACAACCATATTAAAAAAAAAAGTCAAGCAATTATAAGTAAATGTATTTTAATTGATTAAATATATTATTTTAAAGTATTTTTAAAATTGTATTTGCTCTGTTCTAATCAACAGCCAAAGAGAATAAAAAAAGTTTAAATCCAAAAAGTTTTGACGTGAACACTTGATGAACTGTCATCATCTAAAGCGATATGTTGCTCCCAAGAACAATGACATTCTATGAGCGAGATAACCTCAATGTGGGCAAGGTCAAAATCTGTAATCAAATCCTGGAAGAAATATATTAATGTCTGCTTTTTTATATGTTTATTTTACATTTTTAAATACAGAATTCTTCTCATTAAAAAAAAAAAAGAAAAAGGAACTGCCTAACCCCATGGTTTTACATTCTGTATGTACAAGACAGCAGACTGCCTTAAAAATGTTCTGGGTGTAACAACACTGATAGCCATTTAGCTGGCACTACGTTTCCGAACCAAATTCAAAAACCTCAAATTAAGCACTGTGGAGCTACTTAGGACAAAAAAACCCAATTTGTGAATGAGGAGAAAAAAAAGTTAGATATATATTTGTGTGTGTGTGTGCGCGTGTGTGTGTGTGTGTGTGTGTGTGTATACACACACACACACACACACACACACACACACAAAACCAAAGATCAAACAGAAACAAACCCAATACACACAAAACTCAAGTGTCCCCATTAGGTAGTGAACTGTACAAACTATAGCTAATTAATGGAAATTCTTCTTCAAGAAGTGATTTGCGGTTTTTAAAAATCCATATATTTCAGTAACATACATTAACAGTGTTAAATGCACATTAACATCTGTCTATATGACATTCCTCCAAGGCTTCCTATACTGGCCAACTGCTTTCACAAATATGGGCCAGACAAATCCATATTTGTTTAACTGAACAGAACTACAAGATGCTCCAACATCATCCATGACAAACATAACGCAGATTAAAGCTAGAAGACTTTAAAATTTAGGTATGTGATGGGACATTTCAACTTTCCACAATACTTAATGCTAAAGCAGAATTACATAGGATTTGTGCACAAGTGGTACCAAATATGAGAAAATGGAGTGGCAGTGATTTATCAGTGCAACATGAATCCCCACACACTGAATTATATACTAAAATGATTTAAAATAGTTAAATGCCCCAGGTACCAATTTGCACTTATAAAATACAAAGCAAGATTACTGAATTGGGTAGAAAACTGGGTTTGACATGACATAAAAAGCCAATCAAGTCAATAATTTATTAACTTTGTTTTGCTACTGGTAGTCAATCTCGGGCAGAAATGGGAGGCTGGTCAGCTGAGACAGTTGACTCATTAGTATGACCTATGTTGATACTATAATTCATTCATCATCCTGGTTTAACAAATTCTAGCATCCAATTCTTCCAGAGAATCCTCCTTTGTATTCCCTTGGACTAACCAAAAATAAAAGCAATCTAGCTCTTAACATTTGGGGCTATGCAGGACACAGCCAAAAAGAGACAGCTCTTTTCAAAAACTGCTTTAGGTAACAATTTTGAATTCTAATTGTACCAAAAACCATACATTTCAAAACACAGCTATAGTCCATTAACAGAAAGGCTTCAAATTAAAAGGCAATTCAACTGTCAGCAGTCACAAAGCACATGAAGCAGGCAACAGTAGACTACCCATCAGCCAAACAGGGTTCACACTGGGGCATTTCATTTTGTAGGATTTGAAGGACATATGTAACTCACGTAATTTCAGCTTAAGCACCATCCATCAGTGACTCTCTTGGTTAACCCCTAAGTGCTGGATGAGTCTGGAGATCCCTTTTCAACACCAAAGAATTCTTGTAATAATAACAGGGAGTCTTGGGGATAATCTTGACTCTTAAGAGTTCACAGACTGTCAGACCAAAACCAAATGGGGTAAAAACTGACTCTAATGCTCTGTTATGTTAGAAGAGATTCCCAAATAAAAGGCCATCTTCTGCCCAGCCCAAGCCTCAATTGGTATTGTAACACCATTTTTATCTAGTATAATAGACTCTGTAGTAGACTACTTTTGATCTCCATAAAGAATATGAGTTGTCGAATTTAAGTAGATAGACTCCCTTCCCTGGGTACTGATGGCTGCCAGCATATACTTCCTCATGACAGTCTCGTCGGTACACAGGTACAATTTCATCTAGCTGAGGCTTGCTGGACTTCCTTTTGGCTTTTTCTTCACTGTTTTCTGTTAAAAAAAAGGAATGAAGATAGAAAATCATCATCAGTCTAAGAAAACCTTATCTACTTCAAATAATGCAACTAAAGTGGATTCTCAGAATGGTAATGATTTCCTTCAATCCATACTAGAACTATGAAACTTGGCAGCACATTAGCACAGTTTCTGTGTTTTTATGCCCTTCCTTCCCTCTTTACCCAAGTCTAATCTCCTTAAATAACAGAAAATAAAAGCACATAGGTTAGTGACCCCAGGAAAATCACTTTAATTATTTGGGCCCAGATAACAGCCTGGGGATGGCAGACATCCTGAGCCTGGGATTCTAAGCTGCAGGGGGCTACTCCAATCAGATGTTTGAGCCATGAACATGGCAGCTAGGTGGCACAGTGACAGCACTGGACTTGAGGTCAAGAAGTTCTAAATTCAACTCTTGGCATAGATACTTAACTAACTTGTGACCTGGACAAGTCACTTAATCTCTCTGTGCATCAGTTTCCTCAACTATAAAACAGAGATAAGAGCACCTACCTTCTGGGATTGTTGAAAGCATAAAATCATGTTTGTAAAAAGCTGTGTAAACCTTAAAGTGCTAAATAAATGTTAGCTATTATCAATACAACAGGGGGAAGGGAATCTCCAGGTTGCCTAAGGAGGGATAAACCAGCCCAGGTAGGACATGGAACAGATCAAGACTACTATTGTCAATCAGTAGTGTGCCTGGGCCCCTCTACCTGCAGCCTAGGTGTGACATAAGGAGAGCTAGTCTTTTTGTTTTTTTAAACCAACCCAGGAGGGTTGGACTAGTTGATCCCTAAGGTTCTTCCCAGCATCTATGAATTTAGTGTATATTACCTAAAAGAATAAAGGAACCTGAACTTAGAGGGCAATTGTTTTCTATGATACCAACATAAAGTAGGTTTTTAAAAGCATGAGGATCAACTAGCATACCTGTAAAACCTGAAGTCTCCAAAAAATTATCAAATTTGTTTTACTGAAGAAAAAAAAACTAAAGTAAAATCTGGCTCATTTGCAGATGAGAAATTTTCTATGTTCTGGTACGTAAAAGACAGGTCCATTGACTCAAGATCCGGGTTTAGGCTAAAGGCTCTAGACTATACATCACCAAAATAAGTAAGAAAAACACTTTTAATTAGTATAAAACCCATTCAGAATAAGAGACAAAAGTGCAAAGTAATACAGGAGAATGGTCTCCCGGGCTGAAACGTGTTTGTTTGTTTGGGGTTTTTTGAAAGAAAACACCTCCTACCATCTTCTCCCTGACTATCATGGCTGCCTGAATAGCTCTTGTGTTAATCCAAATTTTAAAAGTCCTCTTTACAAGTATACCAGGGGTGCAGCTAGCTGGTGCAGTAGATAGAGCACCAGCCTTGAAGTCAGGAGAACCAGAGTTCAAATCCAGTCTCAGACCAGACACTAGCTGTGTGACCCTGGGCAAGTCACTTAACCCCAATGGCCTCACCAAAAAAAAAAAAAGTATACCGTGGAGGAAAGGATTTGGTGATTTCTTTGTCCTTTCAGCCATATGTACATATGAACCCAGATTATAAGGAGCAACAGACATACTTAAAGGTTTAAAAAAAAATCCACCACCATGATACAAACAATTTAATCAACAAGTTATTAAGCTGTTATTTAAAAGGCAGCTTTTGCTTGCTAAGGACTTTATGATCATGCATATGGCAAATTAATTTCAGTGAAATACAGCCAGCACAGAGTAATACAACTAGCAATGAACTTAGGAGTCAGGAGACCGACGTTCAAATCCTAACTATCATTTACTTCCTGTATGACCCCAAGCCAGGTATTTCACTCCTCTGTGAAATGGGGAGAAAATGGGGAGACTAGCCTACATAATTTCTAAGGCCCCCTACAACTGCAAATCCTAGGATTCTGTGAAGGAGTACCTGAAGTACAACAACCTATTCCCTTATGAAGCTGTATAATTAAGTGAAAGAGTAATAAATACTTTATTTGCTTTAAACTTTGTCTCAAGAAGTATTCTTTAAACTTTAATGTTCTACAGAAATGTTAACCAACTCAATAAACACTTTACAGAATATCCATTATTATATCTGGTGATTCATCAGATGCTAAAGGGAAGCAGAGATGGTAACACAAAACTTTAAAATGCAGTTGCCATTCAAATGAGCAAACACTACCATGCCTACATGGGTTCAGAACTGAGTGGAATTGAGCTTTTCTGGGAAATGGAAGTGATGAAACCAACTTGCTAATTATTTAGCAATGCATATACAACATACTGATTAAACAATCTATTGAACCAAAACGTGTGCCACCTTCATGGTCCCTCTGCCAGCTCTAGCTGCAGACTCCACCAGCTTCAGTGTTCAGATTCTCTCTTCTCCCTTTCTCCACTCTCTCCTTCAGCACTACTACTCACTCCCAAGGCTTCCCTTTCCTCTACAGACAACTCCTGCATATTAATGTCCAGAAAAGAATTCAAGGAGGAGAATCATGCATTTAATTTAAAATACCCAAAGGATGTCTCCATACGGATATGCCAGTGGCACCTGCAGCTTTACATATTTAAAACGAAGCTCCTCTGCCATTACTTTCCGCTACCATCCCTCATGCTGGTGCCATATTAATCTTCTAAGTACACATATCTGATTATGTCACTCCCATGCACAAAACCCTTAAATGGCTCCCTAATGACTGCATGATAAAGTTTAAATTCCTGACCCTAGCATTCCAGGTCCTCTACAGTGTGATTTCACCCTAACTTTTCAGTCCTTTCTCATACTACTCCCCTCCATGTACACTGTGCTCCCATCAAACTGGGGTAGTCCCACATTATGTCCTGTACTATCCCTCCCCTCCAATGCTTCCTGCTCATGTGTTCTTTATACCTGGCTCCCCCACCCCAACCCTCTGCCAGTCAAAATTCATCTCAAATGCCATGTCTCTTTCTGTCATTATGCCAAAGATTTTTATAACATACACAGACTTTTATTTTTAAATATGGTTACGAAAAAGCTGCTCTACCTTCGTCTTCTTCATCATCATCACTGGATTCACTGACATGCACACTGACGTTAGTATTGGGAGACTCTGTCCATTCAAAAAATACCCCAAACCCAATGTCATAATTGTCTGTTGCAAATTCCCAGAAGAGGTAAGATCCTTCCTCATGTGTAGGTACTCGGACAGTGACTACTTCTCCTCTGCCCACTGTGATCACTGAATCTGCATCCTGCCGAATCTTCTCTTTAAAGTCTTTGATCTGAGGTCTTGTCCACATGGAAGGTGCAGCTATTACTGGAACAGATTCTAGCAACAAGAGGACTCATAAAAGTTAAAACAGGCCTACCATCTTCATTTATATGACAATATGAGTTAAAAAACCATTTATATAATATTACTTTGACAACCTGGGTCTACTACCAACCTAGAGATAAGGCTCAGATGCTACTTCCCCTCTGGATTTATGAAGAAAACAATCCCGTTGAACTGTTTCTTTGTAGGCCCAACATAAGGCAGTATCTCAATATTATGGGCATATAGAAGAAATCATACAATATCTCAATTCTCATTAATCCTATCAATTCATAATCTTATTTACAACTGTTTTTTATACTTCACTTATAAAAGGGACTTCAGCAATAGTGTCTCTGGGGTAATTCTTGAATTCTTGTAAATAACTGAAGAGGCATTTTAACAAAGAAAGGAAACTAAAGATACAGAGGTAAATTTATTAGGGTTTAGGTGATAGCCTAAGGAAATTTGAATCTGATTTTAGTTTGCATATTGCAAGAAAATAAATCTATCTCTAAAAAGTTTTAGAAATACCCCAAGAAGGTGAAACAAATAAAACTCAGAGAGAATCTGACTTAAACTTCTTAAAGACTAAAGTGAATGGGAGAAGAATGGATACTAAGAAGCAAACACCCTGGAATATCAGACAAACTTTCTATATTTAATTATAGAGATTTTACCCTGAATTTCCCTTTTGAAGATACTGATAGCTCCTGCTGGTAAGCAGAAGGGCATGCCAGTGCATTTCTAAGGTTCCTTCTGATGCTACTTTCTGTGAAATGTTCCAGAGAGAAGTCACAAAGTATGGTTTAGTTCTTTCCATTATATGCTATATGCCACTATTACTGTGGCTGTTTCCATAATTCAAGAGAGGCATATGCCTAGTATGAGATGTCTATCACACGATGTACTATTTTTACCTTTAAATCTACTGGATAAATAACAGGATCAAGAGCACATACAAGAGATTAATCCTAATTTATTTATTTAGATGCAGTATGTTTTTAGTCTATAAGGGCAAAAAATGTTGCTCAATGGACAATTCTTAATGCTCTCATGAGTAATATTCAAATATGCTCCACTCACCCTCCTGGATTTCTTGCTTTTTAGAGTCTTTCGTAGGAAGACTAATGTACACAAATTCCTAATAATACCTTTTGGTCCGTTCTCTAGGACTTCTTCTGAAATTTCTGGTTCCAATTCTTTTGCAGAGCTGTCTGGGTGAGGTTTGGCCTGTCCATTGACTGAGGGCATTTCACCAGGTGTGGCTGCATTCACCTTTGATGCTGCAGGCAAAGATGCTCCAGTTGTTGCTGCTTCTTGCTGTTTCTGTAATGCTGCCTATAATTCAAGAAAAACAGAAAATGTACTGAATGTGAGGAATGACTATTTCAGGATATGATGTTGCCCTTTCACCAAAAGGTAAAAATGTAGAAAAACCTAAAACAGCTATGTATTATTTTGAAATCACCTGAACCAACAGCAGTTAGCAGAGACTACACAAAACACCTGACTGATAAAAGCTGCTTGAGCCTACCAGCACTTGCACACCTGGGGAATGGGTTTTTTCCTTTCCAAATTTTTCTTTCCAGAGGCAAATATCTTATCTATCCAAAATAATTATTACTATGTTAAGTTTGTAAAGACTGCAAGTTTCACACCCTGCCCAAAAGCACATAACACAATGTATCAACTATATGTTAGGAAATTTTTTAAATTGAAATTTTGTTGTTGTTGAAGAACTATATTATTCCATATTAACAGGAAACTGCCACCACCAGTAACAATTACAGGATACCAAAAAAATATATCACTTCTACAAATAATGTATTTAGTTTTTAGAGATCATCTAATAATCTCAACTTGAAGTACCAGGAAAGCTACCAACATTCAAGAAGTACTAGTATCATAAATCTGAAGCTTGAAGAGACCATGGAGGCTATCAAATTCAACCCTCTTATACAAATTAATGAAGTGAGTAACAAAGAGCTGAAGTGACTTATCCAGCATAATACAGCTAGTAAGGGTCTAAGACAGGATTTGAACCCAGGTCTTCCTGACTCCGAATCAATGCCTATTCAATACACTACACTACCTACAGAATGTGTATCGCCTTCAAGAGCCAGGAATAAGAAGGTAGAACAAAGGAGTGACAAGTTTTCAATTTGGTTTCAATAGGTAAAGAATCTCAGAGATCTACTCTTAATCCCTCATTTGATATTTACAAAGATTTGACTTCTCTCCGTTCTCCTCACCCTCCTTCCTCACTGAGGAAGTATGAAAAATAAAATTCCTGTTACAATGAATAAACAAGCAAAACAAATTCTCTCACTGGCCAAGTCCGAAAAAAGGTCTCCATCTGCACTCTGAGTCCATCACATCTCTATTTGGAGATATGAAGTACATTTCATCAGGAGTCCTCTAGAGTAATGGTTGGCCATCATGATCAGAGTTCCTTATTGTCCCCTTCATCCTTTCTTATTGCACAATAGTATTCCACCATTTCTAAATCCCCAAGTGATGGGCATTCTCTCAATTTCTGATTCTTTGCCGCCAAAAAAGAGCTACTGAAAATATTTTTGCACATATCTAACTTCTCATTTTACATATAAGGAAACTGAAACCCAGTTAAATGACTCTCTTCAAATGACTTACCAGGAGTTTATCAGTGTTTTCTAGTATGTCGTTCTAGTACGCTCTAGCATTCTCCTCCAGGATTTTGTTTTTTTCTATTTTCAGCAAGGCTTTCTACTGATTAACCAAGAAACTGTTCACAAAAATTTATACCAGCATGAGCAATTTTACAAACTGTAATATGGTTTAAAAAAAAAAGTATTTTGCAACATAAGATGATGGAAGGAACATCTAAGTTAAAATTAAAGAGGAACCATGAATGAAATGACTCTTTCTGACACTTCTTAGCAAGTCGCAGAATACGAGACTTTGGAAAGGCTCTTAGAGGCCAACTTAGTCTAACTTATATCTGAACAAGGCCAAATTTCCTCAACTATAAAATGGAGATAATAATCGGTCATGTTTACCTCACACAAATGTTGAGAGGATCAAATGAGATAATGTATGTAAAGCGCGCACACGCACACACACCTCTATGCAATTTATCTTAATGCCAATTAAAAAAAAGAAAGCTATAAAGGATGGAAACTATAAATGAAAGAAAACTGCTCAAGAAATTTTTTCCTTATATAGCCATTAAAGTGTGTGTATAAATATATACAGTCCCTTCAGTTATAACACTTGTTTGAAAATGTAAATTTGTTCCAGCACAACTAATACATTAATGAACAAACTGAACATAATGCAAATTTTGAGTTTACTTCTACAAGATTTCCTCTACAATAAAAAGTGAACAACGCAGAAAAATTGTACCATTTCATAATTATTCAAAAACTGCTACCCTTCCAACAATGCCTATTTCTACAAGGAAATTTCAGGTCTTTTCCAAGTTAAAGTTCCATATTTCTGTACATCCTCTGATGCAATAAGAACTATGGACAGAGGAAGGCTGGTCCATACACCTACTCTTTCTGCCACACTTCAGCCCCAAAGCCCACAGCTAGGATCCTGTCCAAGTTGTTTGAGCAGCCCGGGTCCAAGGCTATAGATGCAGTCACTCTGTTGTAGTATCGATGCATTTCTTAACCATTTAACATGTATAAAACTATGCTATTTTTAATTAGGTTCCTATCTTTTTTATAGATGTCACTAACAAAACATTTGTGTTATGTTCCTAACCCTATTTCTCTCACAAGCCCTGTGGTTTTCACTGCATGATTTTGCAGAGCTTGGGGGAACATATATACTATGTCAAAATAGGACTGACTGCACGCATATTTCTCCAAAAACACAAACTTGGAATTGGAATGAATTTTCATTTTGCACCCACCACTTTTCAAGAGAAATTGGTGATGTCTTATGGTTTTCACAGATATCAAATATGTGAATCATAAATAAAACTAGGTTTCTGATACACCATATGATTTTGCAAGGACTCAAAGAACATGCCAGCTTACTTCACACTGTCCTCTCTACTCTTGCTGTCAAGACTGTTAAATATGTCAGAAGTAGAAAATTCACAAATTCTACGTTCCAAAGAATATGCTATACGTTTGTATATTTGTATAACCCTAACTCTATTTATATGGAATGGCTTTTGTGTTATTTTAATAATAAATAGGAGGAATACAGCTTCTCTTCCTTCACTCAGATTCTTCGCTCATAACTGCTCTATCACAGCTAAATAAATAAAACTTAACCTATAGATGAAAAGACTGTAAAGCAAAGCCTCACAGGGTTGGGAGGAGCTGTCAAGAATCTGATCTCCACACGCATGCCTTTCAAGAACCTAGGGCTATCAATTTATCACAATGAGGCCTTGGGGCTGGGGCTTTATCTCATCCCTCTAATCATGCAAAGTATGAGGAAAGGGAGGGTTCTGTTATCACCACATCTTGTAGAATGGGAAACTGAGGCACAGAGAATCACCTGAAGCTTAAACTACCTGCTTAAGTTCTTAGAGATTCTGTCAGAACTAGTGCGATAACTCTGGCTTCTAGTCCAGCGCTCCTTCCACAAAAGCACAACTAAGAGCTAGCTGATTTCTAGCCCAGTGCTCTTATGATACACTATACTGTGATACTGAACGGTTCCACAGAATACTGCCTTGAGAGTTAACCACAGCTATCAGGCCAGAGGGGCCTTTCAGTTCACAAGTCAAGGCCAAATCAGGCCCCCAGGCAGCATCATTCACACTTACAGCCACTCAGAGGGAAAGGCAATTTCTGCTTTCAACCCAAGTGAAGGAGACGCAGGATCAGAGGATCTACAGTTGCTAGAGCCCTTGGAACAGATTCCAACTCTCCTCACTTAAAAGAGGAGGAAGTCCCAGATGAAACACAGAAGCAGCCTAGCATAATGGATAGTTGGGGGCCTAGCTTCAGATTCTCCCTTAGACACCAAAGAGCTAAGTGACTTTAGGTAAGTCATTTACCCTCTCTCAGCTTCAGCATCCTCATCTGTAAAATGGAGATAATAGTAACACCCACCTCATGGGGCTATTGTGACAATCAAACAGCTCTGCAAACTTTAAAATACTACATAAACGTTAGCTAGTTATTATTCAATGATCTGTCTAAAAATATACAGGGAACAACCAGCAAAGGCCAGGTCCTCTCACACCTGCTCTATGATATTCTTCCCATCTCATCAGGTAGGTTGCTTTGACTGGTAGGTAGGTGCTGGACTGCCTGGCTCCTGGGGGTTCTCTAGTCCAGGGATTGCTGGGATCCTCAGGAGATCAAGGACTCACCCACACTCTGTGGCAGCTTCAGACAACACAGTTTACTGGCCATGATGATCCCAATTTACACTCCCACATGAATATCTACTGCCATTTTTTCTAGGTTGTAAGAGATGATAAAGCAGCTTCTGGAGGCACTCTTGTCAATTAAACACTCATTTTTAAAATACTACCAAAACATGGTACTTCAAGTATATTTTGTTTTGTAACTGTCCATGAAATCACATCTAGGACCTAACCAAAATAGACCCTTTCTCCTCAAGGTAGAACTAAAGCTCTTTTACCTTGGATCATAGTTTAAAGTTCACTAGTATTGATCTAGAGACAGGGCCTGGCCCTATGATTTCACTGGTGGGCGAGCTCCAGATGAGGAAATGCCCTCTACGATGGCAGATCAGCAGCGTCTCTGCAAGCCAAGAGTCTTGAGAGAGCTGCCAGGAGCACCAAGAGGGTTAGGGACCTGCCTCAGGGTCACACAGCTAGCCTGAGTCAGAGGGAGACTTGAAGTCAAACCTTCCTGGATGTAAGGCTAGCTGTCTATTCTCTCTACTCTCTATGCCATTAAAATATGAAGTTTACAAAATGCTTTACACAGATTATCTCATATGCTCCTTTCAACAATCCTATGAAAGATGTACCACACTGTAGGGATTATCTCCCTTTCATAAATGAGGAAACGAAGACTCAAAGAGCTTATGCCAGTACCGGTGCTCACAGAACTACTGGGATCAGAGGCTGGAGTGGAACTCAGGTCTCTCCCGATTCCAAGTGAAAAACTCATCTTACCACAGCATACTGTCTCTCAACTACCACTTGCTTTATACAATGAATCTCTATTCCAACCAAACTGAATACCTTCCCTAACGCTGCAGTCTGAGTCTATCATACCTGTTGCTGCGAAAGCTGGACTTGATACAACTGCTGCATGTACTGCTGATAATGCTGCTCTTGCAGCTGCCGAATGAGAATCTGCTGCTGCTCATAGTTCCCTGGATACTGCTGGGCCGCGTACTGCTGGAACTGCACAGCAGTCTGGGAGTTTAGTGCTGCCATTATCTGTTGCCTAAAAATGTTAAAAATAGACCAGGCTGACTACAAAGGACTATTTACTATGAAAGGTAAGTCATTGATATATATATATATTAAAGTTTACAAACCCTTTAAAATGACTAGGCCAGTTATGCTCATTAACATGTGCCTCTGGCCTAGAAGTAATAAGGCACTGAATCTACAGTTGTAATGAACACTGTTTCTATTCAATTTTAGCTAACTTTTCAAAGAACTATGTCTTGGAGGGATTTCTTTTTCAACAAAGCCTGCAATTTCATTGGTTTAAGGAACTCTTGGTGAAGAACTCCCTCTATCAATACAGACTGTGCCCTGCTCTGAAACTTGTAGTCTTTGACAGACTTTGAGAGTTGCCTGGGGAACCAAGAGGGTAAATGACTTGTCCCAGCTTACACCGCCAGTCTGTGCCAGAGGCAGGGCTTGACCTCAAGCCTTTTTGACTCCAAGGCCAACCCTCTACCCACTACACTGCATGCTGCCTTTTGTGGGTGCTTTTATATAAGACAGAAAGCAGCATGAGAGGATAGGAATCATTATTAGATAACTGTGGTAAAAGTACAGGTAAAATCGGTGAAATTGTGGTTCCACAGGATTGGGAAGAAACCTCACAGGTCATCTAAATCCAACTCCCTTCTTTTACAGATGAGGAAATGGAAACCCAGAAAGCTTAAGCAACTTGCCCCAGGTCACAAGAATAATAAATTAACAGTAAGGATTCAAACCAAGGACCTCTGATTTCAAAGCACTGGTCCTTTCCACTATCACGCTATTTAGAACCTTGCAAAAAGTTATCTGTTTTCATGAACTGAGAGCTACATGGTCAATTCACCAGAAACCCAGAAGCCACCCAGGCACACCAGGGCAGTCACAGATACTATGACAAACAGTGTCAATGCTCCCTACTTCACTAATATAAGGATAGAAATGAATGACGTCCAGATATGGGATTTTCCCCAGGTCCTCTGATTTCAAAGTACTCAACAGTTTTCTTATAATAACAATGAAAACATCTGTCCATGCTTTATTTCTCCCCATTATATTTCAGGTACTTGAAGACAGGGACTCAGGGTGGCAGAGTAGTTAAGAACACTGGGTGGGAAACCTGAGAACTGGGTTCTGAATCCCAGCTCTGTCACTTCTTATTTTTGTGACCTTGGGCAAGGCACACAACCTCTGTCAGCTTCAGTTATTTCATCTGCAAAATGGCCTCTTTGAGCTCCAATTTTATGATCCTATAACTATCTTACTTATCTTTGTATTTCTCAGGAATTAGCCAAGTTTCCTGCACACAGCAGGCATTTACTCAATGCTGAATGAAAGCATTCCGAAAGGGCCAGAGGTAAGATAGGAGAAACCTCAGTAGCTCTCTATGAAGAGAACGCCATCAATGCCTAGAGGCAGAATTTGAGACAGAGGTCACTGCACCCCTTCAAGGCCAAGCCTTTAGAGAGGAGGCTCTTTTTTAATCATTAAGTTATCACTGGTACAAACTTCCATCAAGCTATAATAACAGCACTGCTCCAAAGCACATAATGAAGAATAAGGCTCCAATGACTGACTTAGTAATCCATTTGTAAGTGCCATCTAAGGAGGAGGCTTACTTCTGCTGTTCCAGCCGCAGCTTCTCCTCCTCTATTCGTCTCCTTTCCTCTGCTTCCCTTTTCAACCTTTCAGTTTCTTCTTGAATACGTTTTTCTTCCTCCCTTTGCAAACGTTCTCTTTCTTCCTTTTCCCGACGCCTTTGCTCCTCCTCTTCCTTCCTACAAGGTAAAAAAAAAAAACAAAACAGAGAGAATGAGTGTATTAAAATGAAACCCAGCCCCTCTTTTTTGTCTTTCAAAACCTTTTTATCTTATTTTTTCAATTAATTTATTTTGAAATATCAACAATCACTTCCATAAGCTTTTGAGTTTTAAATTCTTCTCCCCCCCTTTCCCCACCTCCCTCCCCAAGACAGTGTGCAATCTGATACAGGCTATACATATACATTTCTATTAAACATATTTTCACATTAGCTAGGTTGTAAGGAATAATTAGAACTAATAGGAGGAACCACCAGAAAGAGGAAACAAAACACAACAGAAGAAAAAAAATAGCAAATAGCATGCTTCGATTTGCATTCAAACTCCATAGTTCTTTCTTTGGATGTGGATAGCATTTTCCATCATGAGGCCTTTGGAGATGTCTTAGATCCTTGCACTGTTGAGAAGGGCTAAGTCTATCAACTTCAGTCATCGCACAATGTGTCTGTTACTATGTATAATGTTCTCCTGGTTCTGCTCATTTCACTCAGCATCAGACCATACAAGTCTTTCCAGGTTTTTTCTGAAGTCAGCCTGTTCATCATTTCTTATAGCACAATAGTATTCCATTACATTCACATACCACAATTTGTTCAGCCATTCTCCAATTGATGGACATCCCCTCAATTTCCAATTCTTTGCCACCACAAAAAGAGCTGTGATAAATACTTTTGTACATGTGGGTCCTTTTCCCATTTGTATGCTCTGTTGGGGATATAGCCCTAGAAGTGGTATTGCTGGGTCACAGGATATGCACATTTTTATAGCCCTTTGGGCATAGTTCCAAATTGCTCTCCAACATGGTTGGATCATTTCACAACTCCACCAACAATGCATTAGTGTTCCAATTTTCCCACATTTCCAACATTTATCATTTTCCTGTTTTGTTATGTTGGCCAATCTGATAGGTGTGATGTGGTACCTCAGAGTTGTTTTGATTTGCATTTCTCTAATCAACAGTGATATAGAGCATTTTTTCATATAACTATGGGTGGCTTTAATTTTTTCATCTGAGAAATGCCAGTTCATATCCTTTGACCGTTTATCAACTGGGGAATGACTTGTATTCTTATAAATTTGACTTAATTCTCTACATATTTTAGAAATGAGGCCCTTATCAGAGAAATTGGTTGTAAAAATTCTTTTCTAATTTTCTACTTTCCTTCTCATCTTGGTTGCAGTTTTGTTTGTGCAAAAACTTTTCAATTTTATGTAATCAAAGTTATCCATTTTGCATTTCATAATGTTCTCTATCTCCTGTTTGGTCATGAATTCCTCTGTTCTCCATAAATCTGATAGGTAAACTATTCCTTGCTCCACCCCCTCTTTTTCAAAAGACAGACGACTGAGATTTCAGGTTCTACAATTTGGAAGGTATGTTCTGTACAGCTAGCTGTAGTATTAGGCAATATGTTTCTGGTGAATTTAAACTAAGAACAGAAAAGCTAATATGAGAAGACATTTGTCCTCAGAGACTACTGTGGTCAACATATCTCTGACATAATACAATCCCCACCACCTCCATTATCATCACAGCATTTACTTAGTGCTTCATGGTTTGCAAAGCATGTCATCTCAACTGAGCCTCACAACAGCCCTGTGAGGTAGGTGTGAGATTTAACAAAAAAAAGCTTATTATTTTACCAAATGAAGTTTGTACAGTGAATCATTTAACATCAAAATGTAATTATGTATATTTGTAAACCTATTATAGCAGCACCTCATTTGCCCCAAATGATCAAGCAATGAGCTGTCCTGCCTAAGTTAGTTTTTCCAGATGCATGAAACTTATCTTCACAAGTGCTAAAACTTTTTCTATTTTGAACTATCTGGGATAAAATCCAAAATGTATCACAACCTCCCCTGGCTTTTTAATATGTAGTATGCTGAACATAATTTAACCTGATTTTGGGGACTGATCATTGACTTGGGTTCAAAATCTGCCTCATTAACTAGGTGTGTGGCCTTGAGCAAATTACTAAAACTCTCTGAGACTCAGTTTTCATATTTGTAAAAGGACAATAATAATTAGAACTTACACCACGAATGCTGACAAGAGCAAATATAATGAAGTACATAAACCTTAAGGTACAAGTTTGCATTGCAAACCTTAAAGTGCGATAAAAATGAGTTGTTATTTATTATAAATTTCAATCATTGCAGGACAAAGAGTACTGGATTTGGAGTCAAAGAACCTAGATTCAAATCCTGATTCTGCTATTTACTACTTGTGTGATTTTGAGCAAAGAAGAACCTCCCTGGACTTCTGGACCTCTAAGATCCCTTCCATGTCTAAACCTGTCATCCCATGATCTTGGACTTATAAAGGGTGTAGAGCCTCTGCTCCTACCCTAAATGATCTCAGACTTTCACTCTGAATTGTGTGCTGCCATGTGCCTGGTCTTGATCCTTGCTTTTGGTGTGCTTGCCTCTAAGAGTTCTATCCCTTTCTAACTGGCTGTAAAACCAACTAATTATACAAAATAAAAGTACCTAGGCTAGGAGTAAAGTGGCTCTACTATCACACATCTGGACTGGAAAGGCCCTCAGAGCCCATTTAGCCTATTCTCTCCTTTTACAGATAACCAAACACAAGTCCAGGCAGGTCATCTGATCTGTCCATGGTCTCAGAGGCAGTAAAAGCAGAGTGGTGAGCTGGAGTCCTCGGACAGCACTCCTTCTGCTGTACTATGCTGCCTCCCTCTCTAAGTAGAATACCTGGACTTCTCATAAACTTGGGCCATTCGCTGGCTTCTTTTGCTTAGATGTTAGGGTTTACCTGTATTTTGGATAACTCAACTTATGGAATGGATGTTACTATCTTTTTATATTTATGTGTGTGTGTGTGTATGTATGTATGTATGTGTATATGAATGGGGTATTTTAGCAAAAAAAAAAGAGAGAGAGAATATTACTAAATTGGAAAAAAAAATCAAACAGCTTTCTGCCATGATTTCTAGCTATGTCCCTTTCTTACCACCATCTCCTGTTCTTCAATCTCTCCATCAGCCTCATTTCTAAAATATTCTCTGTCCTCATCCATGGCTTCCAGCTTCCCCACTCTTCTGTTTCACTAGTCCAGTACCACCATTCTAGTCTCACTTCCCTCCCTTGACACTCCACCTTATGATGAAGTAATTCAACCATACACTATCAGCTACCCTCAAATCACCTGCCACTTGTCTTTTCACCAGTCATACCCTGTCAAACCCCAACCCCAGTTTATCCCCACCATTTTCCTTCTTCACTCCTATTCATGCGCTACAAACAGCACTAGAGAAAGTCATGCATTTGTGTCCACCAGGGTTACAACATTGTATGTTACCTAATCTCAACCAGGCCTTCACTGTTACAAAACAATCTTTTACTCTCACTCTGTTTCCCCCTCTAAGCTCTCAGCACAGGATCTTGCCTCCTCATTAAAAAAATAAAGGCCAAGGGCAGCTAGGAGGCGCAGTGAATAGAGCACTGGCCCTGGAGTCAGGAGGACCCAAGTTCAAATCTGGCCTCAGACACTTGACACCACTAGCTGTGTGACCTTGGGCAAGTCATTTAACCCCAACTGCCTCACCAAAAACAGAGGCCATCAATGTATACTCCTTCTTTACTTCACTCCACACATCTACAAATCTCTCAGTATCAACTTCATCTTCTCCTCCATTTGAGTCTCTGATAAATAGAAAGCTTTTTTTCTTACTAACCCCTTCACTCATGTTCTTGGATCCAGTCTTCTCCAGGAGTTTGCCCCTGAGTCATTCTCTTCTTCATCTTCAGTTCAAAAAACATTTTAAATATTAAGTGTGCCTTCAATCTCTCCTTAGCCAATGGCTCTTTCCCCACCATCTGCAAACGTCTAGGAGTCCCTCCTCCCTAAAAAAAACCCTTTCATTTAACTCAGCCATCTCCTCAAGATATCATCCTACATCCCTTCCCCCTTTCACCACCAAACTCCCAAAATAGAGCATGTAAATTAATTTCCTATATTTCCTCTTACCCTAAACTCTCTTCTTAAATTACTGTATCTGTCTTCTACCTCCACCCTTACTTGAACCTGCCCTGTGCAAGGCCACCAAAGAATTCTTTCCTGATATATCCAAAGGCCTTTTCTCAGTCTTCATTCTACTTGATGTCTCTGCTGCCTCTGACACTATTAATCACCTCCACATACACACTCTGTACCCTTCCTCCTGGACACTCTTGCCTATCCATGCTTGGCCTCCTTCTCAGAGTTTTCTTTGCTGGATCATAATCTAGTTCTTATCTACTTACCATGTATATTATACCCCTCCATCCATATTTTACTTCTCTTTATACATCTTTTCCCTTTGTGGTCTCATCAGCACCTACTAGATGACTCCCAAATCTATAGACAAGCCCTAATCTCTCTGCATTACCAACTACCTGCTAGCGAGCTCCACCCAATGTCCTGACAGCACATCAAAACCAACATATCTACAAGAACACTCCTATTCCCTCCCCAAATCCAACCTTTCTTCAAACTTCCTAACTTCCTTTCAGGGGATCCTTCTAGCCAGCCAAGTTCCCAACCTTGGGGTCATTCACGACTTCCTTCTCCTTTACCTTCCACATAAATTCAAAGACAAAGTCTTATCAATTCAAGATGAGGTCTCATCAATTCAACCTCTACATCTCTTATATCTGTCCCATTCTCTCCAATCACACAATCTCTACTTTAGTTCACTTTTCACTGAAATAACTGTAAAAACCTCCTAGCTTGTCTCTCTACATCTAGTCTGTCCCACTTCTCTAATCTATTCTCCTGACACACTGATATTCATAAAACAAAAATCTATGTCACTCTCATACTAAAAAATATTCAACAGCTCTATATTGCCTCTGAAATAAAACATAAAATCCTCAGCCTGGAACTGCAAACTCTCTATAATATAGCTCCCAACTGCCTTTCCAATCTTATTTCATATTACTAATCAAACTGATCTGCTAGGTATTTCCTATATGAAGCATTCTATATCCAAGCTCCATGCCTTTGCCTAATTAGTCAGAAGATGGTAAGATGAGAGATCTAGAGTTAGAAGCCTCAGGGCCAACTAATTCAACTCACTTATTTCATAGTTGAGGAAACGATGCCCCTCATATCTAGAATGTACTATTTTCACCTCCTAGTACAGCTCAGGGGTTACTTTACATACAAGGTCTTTCCTGATTCCCCTACTGTTTACTGCTTTTCCTTCTTAAAATTATCTTGTTATTTTTCTGTATTTTATTTATACATGTCATTCAGTAGACTATTAACTCCCCGAGGTCAGAGACTTTTTCAATTTTATTTTTATATCCCTAGCCCTTGAACACGGTAGGCACTTAACACACTTTTTGTTTAAGTAGTAAAGGTCTTCAACACTAACCAAATCAGGTATTCAGCACAGCCAATGCTATGAAACAGAACTTAAATATTCAACAGTTTTGATGAACAGTGTAGTCAGGTTGTATGAGGAAGGTGGTGTGCAGATCCAAATGAAAGTCTTCATGATTTAAAAGCTTATAATGAAATTACTGAAAAACTAAATGTCAAAAAAAGAATGTTGTCACCTCTATACCTATAGTTAGGGAAAACCAGAAATTACAAAACAATAGTACATTCTGGGAAAAAGAAACAACTGCAACACAGTGAGATCTTAAGAAAAAAGTTATCTAATATAAAACCAATGTGCCTTGGAGCAAATCATCAATATACAGGACTGGAAAAGAACTCTGTGCCCTTAAATTTCACCTTCTTTTTTCTTGTTCTTGCTTCTCTATTTTATGGGATGTGACATATGTTGAAAAAAGATAGCAACATCTATTTAGCAGCTTGACGAACTCTAGCATAGCATCCTCTTTAGACAGATTTCCCAGGGCTGCCCATTCTTTCCTGTAAAAATTAAACAACAACAATCACCATCCTTAAGACGAACAATTCCCAACTATCACTAAAATGAATCCCATCGAGTAGTAAAATGAAATACTTTGTTTTGCCATAAGAACCTCAACTCCTTCCCCCAATAAGATCTTACATCTACTTACTAAAATAATTTATTATTTACTAAATTTGCTAAATCATCATATTGGCATAAGAGTACACTTCAGGTATCAAGCTGTTTTAGTCCTGAGAGCAACCCTAAGGCATATCTTAAACACCAGTTTTTCAGAGGCAACAAAAAGTTACCAGATTGGATTTTTCTCATCTTTCATCAGTAATTTTAATATCCTAGGGTTTAAGAAAAAATAGAATGCTCAATGCATTTCCCTTCTGTCATAATCTGGTTAAGCAAATCAGGGTCTGAGAGCTGGATGAGATCTTTGACATCCAACAATGATGATATTAAGTTATTAAAATGAAAATAATTTTTAAAAGTCTGTTCCCTAACTCTCGGTCAGTAGAAATCAAATGAAATTATACTTTTCTTATATTCATAATTAAATGAATGATTCTGCTACAATATCTGACCCAAAACTTCTCCAAGCCAAATATCGGAAGACTCCAGAAAATAGAAGTAAAAACGAGTTAACTCCAATACATCTTCTCAGCTCTAAGTCAAATTCCTCTCATAGTCAGATTATCTTGGAGCCTTCACTGTGATTTCATTAAATTCCTCAAGCAGCAAATCCATGTTACCTTCTGTCATTTCCCAAGACATCAAAAAATCCAACTTCAGGATAAGTGTCTGGATTACACGGACCCCAAAGAACCTGCTTGTACAGTGCCACAAGTTTGAGTTTTTCTTCGTAAGTCGGATGAAATGCTTTGCCATCTTTATCTGCAAAAAAGCACACACACACACACACACACACACAAAATATGATCCTAGATTGTAACTACATAAAGGACAATATACATACTCCAATAGAGAGGCAAATGGATAAAGAGAATGGAAGGGGGACATGGGAAGTAGTTTCTAAGTAACAGACAGCTACCTGAAGGTCTAAGTTTAATTAGTTGTAAATATAAGCTTAATTGGTTTGTCATTATTTGAAATTCATAATAAATTATTTTTAAAAAGAAACTGTGATTTATGATAACAATATACATTATGTTCAGTAACCTGCACTAAAATCTCTCTATAGGAGCTATGCCACAAAATCATCTTACTGTAGCTAACAAAACAGGGTTTTTCTTTAACTTTAGTAACTAAATACTAATAGATAAAACCTAAAATAGATTCCCATTCACCTCTATTCCCTAATACCATTCTTTACTCTAGAGAATACTGTCATAGCTATGTGGCAGTATATGTGGCTAAGGCCCATATACTGAAAGCAATCTATCTGCCAATAGAGCAGCTGACCAGCAAAATAGAACCTGTAAAGTTGAAAGAAGCTTGACTGAGGCCTTTAAAACAAAACGGAATTCAAAGATTATTTTCAAAACAACACTTTTGAGTTAAATGAATTAGTACTGTTATATCAATAAGATAGAACTGTGTGGAAATACACCTAAATGAGAAGGAAAAGCAGCAGGGAGCACATACAGGTTAGGACAAAAAGACAGAAACACATGATAATGTGGTGAGATTTATGTTAAATAATATAAGCAAGAAAGGGATGTCTTCCTGACACAGAGACAGGATACAGCTGTGAGGTCACTCTCTATATCTTCTGAAGCTCCCTGTCCACTAAAAGAAAAGAATCTGATAAATCCTTAACTTGACTTTTGATGACTCCCTCACTTAAAAGGTGGCAGAAGCAATGATATAAACTGTCACATTAGAAACTAACTTCCAACCACAGAAGAACTGGCTGAAGAAGGGAATCAGAAAATCATTTTACCCCAGACCTGACAAAGATGAAAATAAAAGACATGTCCAAACAATATCCCTCCTAGACTTCGGGGAAGCCAATTTCAAAAAGTTCAGAGAAAAGACGAGTATGATCCCCAGACTAGAAATTTTAAGATGACAGTTCAAGAGGGAACATACCTAGTAAAAAAAATTCTGGGCACATCACACATTATGTTAATAAAACAAGGAAACTGGATTTTTAAAATGGCTTCATAAAAGGCTATCTTTTAAGAGGTTATTAATTTATGGTTTATTAAAGACGTGTAAAAGATAGGAGCAGAGTTATGTAACCAAGAAAGCATGAAGACCATAAAAAAAGACAAGAACAAAAAAGGCCTTTAAAAATCACATCAAGATTTATAGCAGCATTTTCTGTAGTAGTAAGGAACTGAAAAGAAACTATGTATCCATCCAACTGGGCAGTGGATAAACAGATTTGTGTCACATGAATGTATCTGAATATTACTGTGCTATAAGAAATGAATGCAAAAAAGTATAGAAGACTTAACATAAACTGATACAAAGTGAAATAAGAATCGGGAAAACAATATATGTAATAGCTATTACACTGTATGTGGAAAGACCGACAAAACTAAATGCTGTGAAATTATAATGATCAAACCTGCTCCCAAATGAGAAAAATGAAAACGTATCTTCATCTCTCTTCTTCATAGAGTTGTGGATTTGGAATACTGCAACTTATCAGACTTTTCCATCATGTTGGTTAGTTTGCTTGAAAATTTTTCCCTTATTTTTTATTGTTATAAGAGACAGTTCTCTGGAAGTCCTTAGGAAATCTTAGATAATCAGTCTTTAATATATCTTTTTATAAAGAGAGGGATCCAAAATAGAAAATGTAAGTAATGTAAAAACAAAATACGACAACATTTTTTTAAAATTTTTTTTTAATTTTTTAGGCAATTGGGGTTAAGTGACTTGCCCAGGGTCACACAGCTAGAATGCGTCAAGTGTTTGGTCTGAGACTGGATTTGAACTCAAGTCCTCCTGATCCAAGGCTGGTGCTGTCTACTGCGCCACCTAGATGCCTCCTAAAAATTTTTAAAAGAAAGAAAATAGGTTTAAGCTACTGTCTTCACTGTATACTATCGGGAAAAAAAACCCACATCAGGATAAACAGGGAAATGATTACTGAAGAGGCCTGCTGACTGGGATAGACGGTAAATGATAACAGTTAACAAAGATACAGTGGAATGACTCAAATACTATTTTGCTTCCATTCAAGGAGCCCCAAATTCAAACTTCACCTTTTCCCCTAAGCTCATCCCTCTTCCTAACTTCCTTATTTCTGCTGAGAACATTACTATTCTCTTTCCCTTTTCTCAAGACGGCGGACAAAAAAACCCCAAAGGAATCAAAGGAAAAGAAGGTCAGAAAGGGAAAAAAGGGAGAACAAAAAGGAAGATATGGCTGAAAAGGTGGTGAAAAAGCCTCAAAAAGCACTGCAGTTGGACCGAGTCCTGGCCCAAGGGATTGGTAGATGCTCCAGGTCTGCATTGTATTCCCAGGAAGCCATGTACAAGCAGAGACACACTGCACCAAAAACCCAGATTGAAAGGAAAAAGAAAGAGAAGGTGCCTGCTACTATCTCAAAGCCAGGCAGTGGTGATAAGAATGGAAGAACTGGAGTGGTAACGATTTGCAAGATGCCAAGGCATTACCCTACCGAGAATGTGCCTAGAAAGCTGCTAAGTCATGGCAAAAAGTTCGTCAGCCAGCACGTGGGGAGACTTCAATCTAGCATCACCCCAGGCACAGTTCTATCATGCTCACTGGCCACCACAGGGACAAGCGAGTGGTTTTCCTGAAGCAGCTGGCTAGTGGCTTGCTACTGGTGACTGGACCTCTGACCATCAACTGTGTTCCTCTGAGAAGGACCTCTCAGAAATCTGTCATTGGCACCTCTACGAAGGTTAACCTTTTGGGTATAAAAATTCCAAATCATCTTAACTGATGCTTACTTCAAGAAGAGGCTCCATAAACCTAGACACCAAGAAGGAAAGATTTTTGACACAGAAAAAGAGAAATATGAGATTATGGAGCAGCACAAGGCTGATCAGAAAACAGTGGACTCTCAGATCCTGCCCCAAATCAAGAAAATGCTTCAGCTCTGTGGATACCTGCGTTCTGTATTCTCTCCCTCCAATGGTATTTTAAATATCTTACACAGAACTCTTATTAAAATATTTGGAATAACTTTAAAAAAAAAGAGAGAGAGAACATTACTATTCTTCCAATCACTCAGGTTAGCACCATGGCATTCCTCTTACACTCCTCACTCTTCCTTACACAAATTTATTCAGTTGCCATGTCTTGTCAATTCAAACACAGCATCTCTCCCACCCATTCCTTTCTCTCCACTCAGCATTTCCACTCTGGTTCAGAACCTCATATCTGTTGCTTGATCCTGTTGTCCTTATATCTAGTCTCTCCCCTTTCTAATCTATCCTCCACACAGCTGCCAATGTGGTATTCATATAGTAGAGATATGACCTTGTCTTTTCCCTTTCCAATAAGCTTTAGTGGATTTGATCAAATAATTACAAATGCCCATTTGGCATCTGAAACTCCACAATGTAACTCCAGCCTCTTTCCAAGCTTATTTATTTATTATTCTGCTTCATAATTCTCTAGGTACATCCCAATCAAATTGACCTTCTCACACTGTTCCTAACACATAACATTCTGTCTCCATCTCAATACCTTTGGGCTGTTTTGCCCACCTGGAATACCTTCCCTCCTCCCTACTCCTCTTAGAATCCTTAGCTTCCTTCAAAGTACAAGCTGAGCCACTTCCTACATGAAGTCTTTCCTGATCCACCTTCAACTAAGTTAACTTGTACTTATTCAATACATACTCATGTTGTTCTTATATACTTATATATGTTGTTTCTCAGATATATGTAAACTTTCTGAGGGCAAGGAATGTTTTTGGTTTTTTATACCCATAACTCTAGACACTGCCTTACATATTTATTTCTTCATTAGTATAGGGAACTATCACCGATGAAACTCCCTCTAACAAAGCAGATGAGCAATTTAAAGTCTCAAGGAGCTGGCTAGGGACACAGAAAGGTTAAATAATTTGGCATGGTACAAAGTCAGTATATGTCAGAGGCAAAACTTGAACCCAGGTCTTCCTTACTCTTAGACCCTATAACCACCATGCTACTCTACAGCACACAGTAGGAGCTTAATAAATGTTTTTATACTGACTGATTTTCTTTTTCAAGAATGATGTTCTTAACACAATGGGTAAAAAGATGATTAAAGGAACACTGGAATCAAATACAGGTAAGGTGAACAAGAACACTGAAATGCTTTACATGAATTCAAAACACTTGGCAAAGAATGAATGACAGGACACCTCAGGCTGCTAAAAAAGAACTTGCAGGTATGATAGTTGAATTATTGTCTGTCAATGATCAGAAGAAAATACATTGTCAGGCATCCTAAGAAAGACAAGGCATGCTGGAAGATGGGTTGGGCCAACATATTCCACAATCTACAGGCTGGTAAACTTGATTTTGATCCCAAGAAATATCCTAAAGCATATTAAATGGCAGGTTTATAAGTACTTAAAAAGGGAAAGAGCGATAACTACAAAGCTGCAAGGCTTCACTACAAACAAATCATGGCAAATTAGTCAAATTTTCTCCTTGCACGCTTACTAAATTGAAAGATTAAGGAAAAGCTGACCGTGTAGTAGATCTGGATTTCAACCAAAAGCATTCTCATCTTCATTTTAAAGATGAGAAAACCAAGGCTTTATCACACGATAAAATCTCTCAAGAAATTTCATAAGGACAAAATAAGGAAATGTGGACCAGATAATTAGTATGGACTGGATGACCAGTACACTAAGTATTCACAGACTGATCTATATTAAGCTCGGAGAAGTTTTTCAGCGGTCTGCAGCACAGTTCTATCCTTCACTCTTTTCTGGTGAACAATTATTTTTT